GAATAAGAGAATACTCATCTTTTAGAAGAAGAGAAAACTCATCTTCTAGAAGATAAGATAGGAACTCTTCTGGAAGATACGATAACAACACTTCTAGATAATACTATGAAGTCACTCCAAGAAGCGACTTCATAGTCACATCTAGAAGAGTCTTTGGCAATACCTTACTTCCAAGAGTCATCTAGGAGTTTCTTCTGGAGTTTCATCTAGGAGTTTCTTCTGCGGATCTTCCACGTTACGCTTGTACGTTCCCCAGCTCGGCATCAGTTCTTCCCAACTGGTGATAAGAATTCGTATACTCCTGTAATATTGCTGGCGAGCTCTTAGCACGTTTGGAAGTTTCACACGGGTAACTTCCGCAATAAAAATTGTTTGTAGGGCTAAGGTATGTTATGAAATCTAACACACTTCCATTAAACAATTTTTGCCGAATTAGTACCGACAGTCTGCACAAGTGGCCGATTTCGTATCCGAATTCCGTCAGAATTTGTTACGGAAATCGTATGAAAGATTGCTCGGAATTCGGAACTCTTTGTCTAAGTAAATTCTGAAAAATGTGGAGAGTTGTCGGTCAAAATTCGGTATGAAATCTGATGTAAATTCCTGGGGAAATTCTGAAGGAATTTTCTACAAATCTGATTGAAGTCGGACATTCTTTCGACATTTCGTACGAAAGTCTGATAGATGTCGGATAAATGTCTGATAAAATTTCCGACAGTTCATACAAAAGTCTGATCAACTATAAGAAAATGGCCTGACTATTCTGATCAAAGTCTTATGATTATGGTTTAATATTATTAATTTTAATAATAAGCTTCCATTATTCATGACTTCTTAAGGGTACATAAATAAATATAGAAACTTATAGATTATTTTTAAAATTAGTAAAATTATAAACATATTATATACGAAAATATAATTATAAAATGAAATCATAAAAAATTATGTAATTTTTGCTAATTTTTGTGTATTAACAAAGTTTAAAGAAATTTAAACAATAATCATCGGATGTTGTTTACTTGATTTCCAAAGGCCAACTGATAAAATAAAAGAAAATAAAAATTAAATTCCCTTTTAAAGTACAGTTGACGAATTTCAAAATATAAACAGGTTTGTGCATGATTTTTATTAAAAAAAAATTCTTCAGATAATGTGTAGAGTTGTTGCAGTTTTATTACAAAAGTACTGAAAATGGGAAAAAAATAATCGAGCAATGTTAAAAATCTAAAGGAAATTTATATTATTCGCTAATTGTCTGATGAAGTTACAAAAACTATTCTCTTCAGATTATGTGCAGATTTATCGAATATAATTCTTAAGCCATTTTATATTTTACTTCAGAAAATCTACAGACTATTCTTCTTTATGTCTAAAAAATAAAAATATATAGTCCAAGCGTAACGTGGAAGATACTTCTGGAAGACCCGCAAAAGAAACTTCTAGATGACTCTTGGAAGTAAGGTATCGCCAAAGACTCTTCTAGATTTGACTGGGAAGTCTCTTCTTGGAGTGACTTCTTAGTATCATCTAGAAGTGTTGTTATCGTATCTTCCAGAAGTGTTCCTATCCTATCTTCTAGAATATGAGTTTTCTCTTCTTCTATTTGTATACTCACCAACATAAAATCTATAAAAATAAATCTAAATAAAATGAAATTTAATAGTTTTTTTTTGAAATAATTGAAATTGAAATAATAGAAAAAATAATTAATTTAACAACTAATCTAAAAAAACTAATATATGTATGTATTAAAAATTAGAATTATTGCCCTATACGATAATTTTCAAGAAATCCGTATTAATCTTCCAACTGTCGACTGTTACACTTCCAAATATTTTAAAATGTTGGACTCTAAAATATTTGTGTAGTTCTTCATAAATTTTATGATCAATCCATCAAATTGTAAGAGTTATATTTTGGAACGCATTAATCCTTCAACGAAATAAACAAAAATAATATTATAACAATTAAGAAATTATAGTCGGGCGAGGCCGACCATATAATACCATACACCTGTTACAAAAATGAAATGTGATTTTGTTTTCATAATAAAGCACTTAAGTTGAATTGCACCTTGCCTTGAATTATACTTAAGCCATTTATTGTTAAATAAAATTGTGGACATTTAAGTCAAATTTTGAAGGGGGATTTGTATAGGTGCTATGGTCAAATGAGACCCTATGATTATAAAATTCATGAGAGTCATCAAGGCTAGTACAGAACTTGGTTTTGCAGCTTTTTGTCGAGATGCGAGTATATTAAACATAATTATAAATTTAAAATCCCTATTTGTCGGGTTCAGTTGTATGGGGTCTAGGTGAAATAATGGACCGATGTTAACCATTTTCAGTAGGCTTCGTCACCGGTACCATGGAAGATCATCTGCCAAATTTCATTGAATTATCTTCAAAATTGCGACCAGTAGTTTGATTACAAGGTTTACAAGCCCTATTCGGGGGTTCAGTTGTATGGGGGCTAGGTGAAATAATGGACCGATATTAACCATTTTCAATAGGCTTCGTCCCCACTAAAGTGGTGTAGGGTATAATTAACATTGAATATACATACTTACATACTTTTGTATTTATTGAAATTACCTCTTATACTTTAGAAAACAATAAAAATAGGATTCTCTTATGACCAATACATCTCCCAAAGTCAGATCCATTTTTTAAATTTTCTGCAAATAATCGACATTTTTAATGGAACCGCGTAGTAAAATAAGACTTATATAACTTACCAGATCCCTTTTTATACCCTCCACCATCATCAGTGGTGATAGAGGGTATATATAACTTTGTTATTCCGTGTGTAACACCAAGAAATATTCATCTGAGATCCAACAGAGTATATATATTCTTGATCCTTATGAAATTCTGGGTCGATTTAGCTATGTCCGTCTATTTGTGTAAAACACGCTCACGTTAGAACGAATCAATAGCAATTCACGAAATTCACACAAAACATTCTTTATTATCCAGTACAATTTGGTATTGAAAATCAGTAAAATCGGTTCACGGCGTAAAAAGTTATGAGTAAAAATTTCAGACTACCTCGAAAAAAATAACGTTTTCCCACTTCTTAAGCAGTTTTCTCAGAAACTACCAAAGATAATTCGATCTCAGTCGGTCCACAATTGGTCATAGCTCCCATATAAGGTCCACTTCCAAAAATCTCCTAAACGCACATATTTCATTGATAAATAAAGCTTTTGTGATAAAATTCGAGCTGAATATCTTTTGTGTACATACAAATCAATCTACCAAATTTCTTTTTCGATCGGTCCATTATTAGTCATAGCTCCTATATAAGGCCCACTTCCGGAAATCACTTAAACGCACATATTTAATTGTCAAATACAGGTATCTTGATAAAATTTGACACAAATATGTTTCGTCTATATATGAATAACTATACAACAGTTTCTTCGGATAGGACCATAAATGGTCATAGGTCCCATATAAGGTCCACTTCCGAAAATCACTTAAACGCATATGTTTCATTGATAAATAAAGCTATCGGTACATATAAATCATTCTACCAATTTTTCCCCGGTTCGGTACATTATTGGTCATAGCTCCCATATAAGGCTCTCTTCCGAAAATCATTTAACCTTACATATTTCATTGTCAAATATAGCTATCTTGATAAAATTCGACACAAATATGTTTTGTGAACATACATATGAATCACTCTACGAAATTTTTCTGGAGAGGCCGCAATTGGTCATAGCTCCTATATAAAGTCCACTTCTGAAAATCAATTAAACGCACATATTTTATTAACAAATAAATCTATTAGAGTAATGTACGACTTGATTTTTATTCACTCCACCACCATCAGTGGTGAAAGAGGGTAGATATAAGTTTGTCGTTCCGTGCGTAACACCAAGAAATATTCATCAAGACCCAACAAAGTATATATATTCTGGGTCCTTATGAAATTCTGAGTCGATTTAGCTATGTCCGTCTGTCCGTCTGTCTGTGTGTGTAAAACACGCTCACGTTAAAACTAAGCAAAGAAAATCAACCAAATTCACCCAAAATATTAACTATTATCCTAAGCAGTTTGGTTTTGAAATCAATAAATTCGGTTCACAACGTAAAAAGTTTTGAGTAAAAATTTCAGACTACTTGGAAAAAAATTACGTTTTTTTCATAATTCTTTTGAAGTTTTCTCAGAAACCACCAAAGATATTTCGATGAATTATTTTTTAGAGCAGTGATCAATTATGTTCAAAATCTTTACTATATATATATATATATATATATATATATATATATATATATATATATATATATATGTGTATATATACATACAGCTCCAGTTTTCTGTTTATAGATAAATAGAACATCTGAACTTGTAGAAAAATCGAATACTGTTAACCCATAAACTGTGAAGGTCAAACTTAAACTATGCGTTATTTTTTTTAAAACCGAATTAAATAAAACTTAGGATTAAAACATAGTGATGACCAGTAATTAGCATGACACCGAAAAAAATTCAAATTCACCCTTAAACGTAAATATATTTTTATAATTACATATATAAAATGTCCTCATAGAAGAACCTCTTCTGAAAATTGTTCTAGTGTTAATAAATTTTATATTGTAGATATTGTGATAAAATTCAATTGTGTAACCACAAAACTTTGAAAACGTTTGTGAATATTGTCCCATTATAGGACCTACATTTAATTTTAGGCCGTATTCTCTAATTCAGTTCAAAGGTTAATGTTGATATATAGACGGTGTAAACAACGTGGTAATCAATTCGAAGACGGTGCGATCTTGAAATTGAGTATATATGTATGTATATGCGAAAAATATTTTATACAAAATGGTAATTATTGTTACATCTTGTTTGAAACTTTACAGGTATTTGCGCACTTAAGGGATTAAGAATATCTTATAACAAAATAAGCCATAGATTTTACGACATTAATTTTTTCATATTAATTTAGTGAAAACAAATCTACTATTTGGTTAATTAATACTTACATTTAACTGCATTATTATTTTGTTGTAAGCCCAGTGCCAACGCTGTTTTGCCGTTACTTCTGTCTTACGTTTCATAATTTGCATATGCCCACCAACGACTTCTTCCGTTTCACCACGCATTAGCTTCATTTTACGTGACTGAGAAGATCTAAGACTGGCTGAAACCATCTGAAGGTCGCCCATTTGATCGTCTTCGGCAATAACAATGTCATGACTAGATTTGCGACTAAGAGATTTTGAAGGTGATGTAACGCCCGTCTCTGGCAGACCAAGTATCGAAGAAGTTTCATCCTTCTCATCCTCTTCTAATATAATACTGTCTTGTTTCTTTATCTGTTGATGTGGTGCTGTCGTTACTGGCACTGACGGTGACATAGTGGTGGTAGGTAATGCCGTCGAGGATGTTTTCATTGGATGATGTGAATCGTCCAATGAGGTTGTTGTGGTGGTTGATGGTGCTTGCTGATGTGTTCTTAAGCCTTTCACACTGCCGCTGGAACTTTCATCTAGATAATTGCCACTATCCTCACTGTGATACATATCGTCCATGTATTCTTCATCCATAATATCATTTTGACCCTGTTGGTAATCATCATCCACTACATACTGCAAGGACGACTGTTTGTGTATATGACGAAGTTGATGTTGTAACTGTTGGTTATTTGTTGCTTGGATCTTTTCTTTTTCCAGATACTTAAACTCATCCTCTTCGTTGAAATAATCATCCCGATAATCATAAGTGCCAACACCATTTGTGTGCTCATAATAACCATTAGCTACCATATGTCTAGCAGACGGTGCCACTGGCTGTGTATCCATATAGTAATCGGCCTGCTCACTATCGATGTCATAAGTCGGACCCATCTTCAGATACGCTAGAGACTTATTATCAAGAACTTCGGTGTCCTCTTCGTAAATCTCGGTCGGTTGTTGTTTAACTAAACAACCCGATTTATCATTGATGGTGGGCAGTTTTTTGCCAGTGGATCCACCAGCTGGCGGCACCGTCGGTAATAATTTTTGCTGAGACTGTTGCTGATTTATAAGCTGTTGGTTTTGATTTGCATAGTAATATTGCTCATCATCTAATTGATGTTGAACAAAGTCTCCATCAGTAGTAGTTGGTATATTGCTATTATCGTAATCATCACCACTGCCACCAAGGCTCGATGTGTATGGACTGACTAGTGAGTCTTGATGTGAAATTTGGTAGTTATTTTGTGTCACATAAACTGTGTTGGCAACACATGTAGTAGGCTCATCTGAACCAGTTTGTACTAGCTTAATTAGCGAAACAGCAGATGTAGGTTGCAAATTCTTTTGAACTTTCGTGCTTGCCATTGATGCTCCTTTATTCACTACTTGCGTTGCTGATTGCACTGCGGCTGTAGCTTTGCCAAGAAAGGAACCAAACATGCTGCCGCCACTTGATGATTTTGTACTACTAGTATTTGCAGTACTACTACATGTAGATGCTGCAGCTGTGGTAGCAGCAGGTGCTGCAGAAGAAGTTTGTTGTGAAATCTGGGAAGCTACATTAGTTAAAGAGGACAATAACGAACTTGTGGCTTTCTTGGCTGCTGTCACTGTTGTCGAATTATTCGACTGCATAGTTGTTGATGCCATTGGTGCGCCCGTTGAAACTGCACTGTGCGCTGTATCACTTACAGTCGAATACGCTGTAGAGGTATCAATATAGTGTCCCGTTGTTGTGACATTGTCATACTCACTATATCCGCCATACACATCAATTGCCTGGTTTCCATCATCAAAATACTCTTTATTCATATCGTGCATATCTCCTGCAGCAGCGTCATCGTAAAACATCATTTGTTCTGTATGATTTGCCGTATCGTCTTGGGCATAATCAAGGCTACTTGTCATATGATAAAACGTTGTTTGACTACTATTATAGTAAAGGCCACCATGTTGCTGTTCCCCGTTGCCATACATATCTGTCGTATGCGTTGATACCACAAAGTCCATATCTTTGATAGAATTTGTACTTTTTGGAACATCTTCATAATAGGCTTCCCCATTTAGGGAAGATGGCACAAAATTGCTGCTAGTTATAGCAGCTGTAGTAACCAAAGTTGAATCATAGTTATAATCCATTTGCTTTTGGTATGACTCGGTTATTTGGGGACTTTGAGTTGTTGTGGGCTCAACGACAACAGTTTTTGTTGGTTGAGTGGTAGCGGATTTGGTGCCAGAACCTAATAAGCCACCCACGTTAGGTACAAGCTTTGAGGCTAAACTAAACCCGAAACCTTTTTTCTGTTGTTGTGGTTCATTGCTGCTTGCAGCGGCCAGGACGCCATCCAATCCTCCCTTAAGACTCTGCGAAAGTCCACCCAACATTGAGGCCGCTTTAATACCAGCCGTTGTTGATTTTTGAGGGGTTATCGATGATGGTACTGAAGTTGATTGCATTGTTGATATTCCTGTAGTTGTTTTTGCCATTGTTGATGTTGTTGTATAAAAATCACTTGTAACATCTCTGGGTTCACTGTTACTTCCAACTAAAGTACTAATGTTAAATAGAGATTTGCTTGTAGTGTCTGAATTTAAATATACTGGCGCGGTAAATGTATCATTGGATGATATTGTTTCCGATATAAATGAGGGTTTTGAGATTTCAGAAGTAGTTTCTGATGTTACTGCTGTCACCGTGTCAGTACTAATTGCAGTATCGGCGGCCATCAATGAATTTAGATTCACACTAAAACTGTTATAAAAATTATCGTCAAAATCAACCATCGTCGTCAAGGCAGTGTTGGCAGTCAGTTGGTTTTCTTTGGATGCTTCATTTAGTGTGAATACAGATGGTGAAGATGTTGCAATCAGATCGGATGTTTTGTGTGTTGTGACCGCTGGCATAAACGCTGTTGTGGTAGATGTAGATGTTACAGCCAAATCCTTAACAGTTGTTAGTGGGGCATCCTTAATACAACTTTGGCTGTTGATTGTGATATCGTTATTATTATTGGTGGTGGTGGGGGTGACCTTTAAGGACGTTAAATCTGAGGTTATGTTGGATATCATGTCCTCTTCTTTAATTTTATATAAATTTAAATAGTTTTGACTGTCATAATCACTAGTTGATGAAGTCGTGAGAAAGTCCATGATATAAGCAGGTAGCTCTTGAGATGTTTTATCTGTTATTTCTGATACGAAGGATGTGGACGAAGACGCCGTCACTTTTAAGTAATCTGCATATAACAAAGTTGACTTTGGAGTGTCAACCTCAGCAGTTGTTGTCACAGAGTGTTTTGTTGATGTTAATGCGGATGTAGATGTGGCTGCCGTTGGTGTTAATTCAGCATTAGGCGCTTTAGTTTCAGTTGTTGTAAACAAACAATTTGGTGCAAATGTTGACAACACTGTATCTGTATATCCTTTATTGTTATTTATCGTATAACAACTTGTATTGTCGTTTGATTTTATTGTTGTGGTCGTGGTCGTAGTTGCTATTGTATACAACGACATTGTGCTTGTCGGCCATGAATTATTCAACGTTGAAGAGGATGCGGATGTAAAAGAGGTTGTGGTCGTCGCTGAAGTATGTGTTGTAGGTGATGATGTTGTTTCTGTTAATATTGTTGTGGAGGCTGATATAAAATCGAGCTTATAGTCTTTTAAATAATTATCATATTGGTCTATATACAATGCTGAAGCTGACTCTTTGGTAGTCGTCACTTGGTTTTTGTCTAAACTAGTTTCGATATCTAGTTTTCCAACCTGGTCGTTAGGATCGTGTTGTAGTATGGTGGATGTGCTCATTAATGTTTGATCTAAATATGTTGTTAAGGTGTTTGATGATGGGGACGCTATTGATGATTGAACGTTTGATGATAATGTTGTTGTTGCTGCTGTTGTATAGCTTGATATTGAGGTATTTGGAACAACACTATCACTAGGACTTGCAATTTTTGTTACGGGCGAACTAATACTACTTTTACGTCTAATATTATTATCACTTAAATTTAAAGCTGTTATTATGTTATTAAGTCCCCTGTTATTTATTGCTAATATTGTTGATGTTGGTGCTGACGTTGTGACTGGTGTTGTAGTAGACGTTACCGGTGATGAAGTGATAGTTGTGGATAATGTGGTAATAGATGACGTGAATTGTGTTAAGTAATCGGTATTAATATCTAGACTAGGATATGGTAAATAACTGCTACTACTAATGCTACTATTTTGGTTAAGGGTAGATTGGAGATTTGTATTATTGCTGCTACTGTTGCTGGAGGAGGAGAATGTTGGCAATGTATAAGGCTTTAAGTAGTCGGTGTAGTCGGTAAAAGTCGTCTTATAATCATTGTCAAGTTTAGTTGTTGTTGCTGTTGTTATTACGGAAGATGATATTGTTGTTATGGTTGTTTCACTTGTTGTTGCTATTGATGATGATGAGGAGATGAATGAGTCGTATGCCGTTCCAACCTTGAATTGTGGGGATGCTTTCGCAGATGCGTCATTTATTGCTGATAAATTGTTTAATCTGGACGGCGTCGTTGATAAATGATATATCGGTTTTTCTTTATCGTTTGCTGATGTTTCTGATTTGGTTTGAAATGGTTCTACGGAATATTTGTCGTCAGTAGTTTGTACATTATTATTGAAAAAGTTATTATTTTTATAATTATTCACGTTGTCATAATTTTTTAAATCTGGGGTATTGTTATTGTTGTTAGGCAGCAAATTGGATGTTGTTGTTGTTACTGCTGTTATTGCATTTATGGATGATGATGGCGATGTTGTTGCTATATCTGTAGTTTTTGCTGTTGTTGCTAAAAGTGAGCTTGATGCTAAAGATGTACCTTGGTATGGTAACGAAAACTTTGATGTTGATATAGATGAGGTTGATGTTATTGATGTTGCTGATAAAATGGACGATGGCAAATTAATGTTATCTAATGTATCGTTTGCTTTCAGCGACGATGTTGTTTGTGGGGTTACTGGTAGTGTTTTGACCGTTATGGCATGACTTAACGGGTATTGAGGTGATTGCGGCAATTGTTTGTTGGTGGCCACAACGTGACCACGACCAGTGTGATGTTTTGGCAATTTTCTAGAAGTCAAGTTTTTCAGCATAGACAAACCCGTCAACGCTGTTTCTGTAGTAGTTGCAGTGTCATTTTTAATGATGCTGCTGTTTGCACTATCAGCCACAATTGGTGAGGCTGAAGACAACAACAGCATTGACGATGAAGCTGCTGTTGTTAACGTAACGGGGGGAAGAGCAGCTGAACTGTTTGTATAGGCACATGACGTTAAATTATTACTCCCGCTAATACTACTATTTTTGTTGTTGCTGCCTATTACCCCGAAACCACTATTAGTATCGTCATACATATATGAGACGGACGATGATGTCAGGCCAGCACCAGTTCCCGCTTTTATTGCTCCACTTGATGTTGTTAAATCCGTTACGAGCCCTGCCGATGGCTTTGTTGTTTTCTTTAGCAAATGTTGTGGTATACGGGTTTCGCCGCTGGCAATGACAGATGCTGTTGTCATGGCCATAATGATGGAGTAACGGCATTTTTGCAAGTCTTGTAGTTTTTGTTGGTTGGCATAAGTGTTTGCTGTTGGTACAACAGTGTCGCTATACGTTGACATATTGTCCATAGAATTCAAACCGAAATCGTTATAGTCATCTCTTGATTGCATGGCTGTATGTGGGCGTGGCTCTATTGAGTAGCGTGGGGTATCAAAGGTGTTATAGGAATTATTATAATCTGTTTCACGGCTATTCTGTGGTGGTTCGATTAAACTGCCATTATCATAATAGAGATTGTAAGGCGGAAGTTTTTGTGTAACGGGGTGTTGTACAGGATTATCCTTTTTGTAATCCAGATTTATTTGATTTCTATATGCTGACATCGATGATGTAGTTGTTGCCATGTTGTCGGAATTATCTTCAAAAAAAGCTTGTTTTAAATATTTCTTGGCATATGTTTGGGGCTGCTGGGACTGGGGCAAAGGTAATACGCGCTCCGGTGGTCTATGTCCGTAAAAGCCAGTACCACATCCACCTTCATCATAATGTCGTTGACCATTAAACTGAGCTTTAACACCATTCGCAATGAAGCCTCTGTCCCAATCCCCATTATTAGAGCCCACTCCTCTACCGCCAACACTTCCACCGTTATAACGGAATGTTGGCGTTGACGGTAGACTAACATTACTCTGCCTGTGTTGGCCACTACTGTACATACCATCCCACATGCTATGACTATGCTGCACTGGCGGTACTTGTGGTAACATCTTATTGTTACTATCTCCGAGAGCCGTAAATGGTCGACCATTTCCATCTTCTCCTCCAGACGTCGTTCCATAGATACACTCTCCCCTAAGATTGTCATAATCACCATAATCAAGCGTCGAATAAATATCATAACTATCGCCACTGCAGGCATCATGATGGTACATTAAGTTGTCTGTAGCTATTACGTTTTTACAATATTGGTTGTAATCATTGCTGTAATATGTGACATTATAGTTACCGGCATTTGACATGGTTGATGCTGATCTTTGTTGATGGTTGTAGCTATCACAGCTACTTCCGTCGTTGTACTCTTGGTTGCCATATATATCATAACTAGTTGTTTCATCTTCTGTTTGACTTTCATACGCATTATACGTACCTTTATTGCGTAAGGTGCTGCTAATTGGTCGGTTATTGCAGGATAAGGCATCGATTTCATTAAAATAATAATCGTTTTGAGTGTAAGACTGCAAATATATAATAAAATAAACGCAGAGCCATTAAACAATGATATTAATATATGTTTATTCATTCAACTTAAACCCTAATAAACATATACATCACACAAATTATATACATAAATATGACCAGTTAATAACTTTCAATTCTTTAGTTTGGGTTACAATTTTCGGAATATCGCCTTTAACTCTTTCATGTCTACGGGTCGCCGGTGTCCCAAGATTTTTTCAATTTTTTCTCAATTTAGACCGTAATTTTGAATTCACAGCTACAGTAAATAGTTATTTCCAAAGAAAAATATGTTTTTTTTTAGAATTTGATGTCAGTACACGCTATAAAGGATAATGTCCTGCGATATCCTTCAAAAACACTTTTTCCATTTTTCATCAAAAATTATCGATACACGTCAAAATAAAGTGTTTTGTGCGTGAAAGGGTTAATGGGCCTTAGAACAATTATGGTCTGTACTCACAGAATTTAAAAAGAGCATTAAAAGAATATTTTATAACAACGACTTTTTTTGCCGAATTTTGGCTTGGTTGGGTCGAATCTAATCCGATATCCAATACACTTCCCAGGATTATTAGTGGGTACATAAAACTAACTTATTCTAAATTTTATCACAATTACTATACAAACAACATATTTATAACTGCCTTTTTAACTTGATTCTGGTGGACCAACATTACCCATTTTCAATACCAAACAAACTTTATCATCAGAAAACAATTACTTTCTATTTGTAATTTTAATTATACCATTACTTGTAACAGTAATTTAATTTTACCAATAACAATTACGTGTTTTCAACAGACAGATGGACAAAAATGTAAGAGAAATTATAACAAGACCTTGAATGAAAAGCTTTCCGGAAGAGGTGGGACGGGCCGCTTACTTCTTAAGAATCTTATAATCAAATTTAGATTTTTTACCTATGTTTATTAAATTTACAAGAACATTCAAATGAAATTACATATTTTAAGGGGATGTCGTGCGATATTTCTAAAAAAATTTTGATATATTCCTCAATTTGCAAATTTAAAAATTTTCTTTATATTAAAAACAAAACACAGTGTAGTGCCTGGCGTTGCCATATGGCAACACATGTATAAATACTAAAAATCAACTTTTTTTAAAAATAGCCTATCTAAACCACGTCTTGAAAAAAATTTAAATTTTTTCTTTCATGCTAGTATCAATAAAGGGTTAACATACACATATGTACATATGTATGTATGTTAAGAAATTTTCGATCACATTCTAAGTTTGTCATCCCCTCTGTAATCTCCACAATATAATTTTCCGACCCTTTAAAGCGTTGGTGGCCAAACACTTCCCCGGGGTAGTTATGTTATTCTCACTAATACATACGCAATACGAATACTGTGAGTAAAAACACAAAGTAAACACAAAACAAAAACAAGTTTATTCAGTTGCTTGTCTGCATTCAACAAAGAAGGTCTATGTCGCTTGATGTTATGATACACGGCGAATATTTTTCAGTAGCCGTTATAAATAAATGTTTATTTCAGGTTTTACTAAATATGTGGAATATTGAGTGGGAGAAGGATTTTTTATTCTGTTTAAATATATTTAAGGAAGCTGAGTGTATTGTATGTGGTCAAAAGTTAAAAAAAACTCATCCAAGTACACTTAAACGTCATTATGACAGTTGTCATTCCAATTTACATGAAGTAGTCGGAATTGCGAGAAATCAATTGATTTCAAAATTAAAGTCTGATTTCGAAGCAAAGTACAATGGAATATTAAGCAATTATTATAATGAACGACTTTTTTCAGAAAATAGTCATGCGAAAGCAACATACGCGATTGCTTTGGCATTGGCGAAAAAAGGTCGTCCATTTGAGGATGGGGTTTTATTTAAAGAAATATGTTCCGCAATTTTTCCTTTTTTTGGAGAAATAGGGACTTACATCAACAAATACATCATTACATACATAAACACATATGGACATCAATATATTAACACATACATGAACGCATGCATCAAGACATTCAATAATACTTAAATCATCGCATAAATACATGCCTTCCGTTATTCATTAAAATACAAATACAAATATGAATAACACAAAATAAATACAAACAAATAATTTGTTTCAGTGCAAATCACACGTATTTTCATTTGTGTACTCTTTTATTTTTTCACTACAACATATGCGTTTTAAGCACTCTCTCGCTGGCCACCACTGCTTTAAAGTATATATTAGGGATATAACCAGGGTACGGATAGCGATCGTATTCAATTTTGAAAATGAAATAACTTAATCAATCAATAAATTAATCAAATAATCTGATTATATACACATACTAGCTATACCCAGTGGGCTTTGCTACACTAAAAACAATATAAATAAAACCCCCACTTTACAATTTTTAAAGATTCTACCTTTAGTGGTTTCCATATACATCTTTTGTGTTTAATTCATATGGGAGATGCCTCGCCAACTATTTCAAGTATTTTTATTTAATACATATTTTAATACATATTCTAATAGTTTTTAAATATACGAATTTTTGTATTTAATTCATATGGAAGGTGGCAAGCCTCCTTTGAAAGTCCACTATTTTTCTCCATATGTTGAAATTAATGTCGAAGTTTTTCGTGCAAAATTTTGAGATTCTAGCTGTAATAGTTTTTTTTTGTATTTAATTCATATGGGAGGTACTCCGCCATCTAATGCTAGTCCGCAAATTTGTTTGTATATAATTAATGAATATGAGAGGATCCAAGCATCCCCCTCCCACATTTTCCCCCAAATGTTTACATGGATGTTAAAGTCCTTCGTACAAAATTTGAAGTTTCGAGCTCTACGAATTGTTGTGTTTAATTCATATGGGAGGTGGCAAGTCCTCTGTTGCTAGTCCGCCAATTAATTACCGAAATATTCACATTCATGCAAAAATATTTGTGCAAAATTTGAGAATTTTGGCTCCAATAGTTTCTTAGTTATACGACATTTTGTATTTTAGTATTTTAATTTATTACTTAAATATTCACATGAATGCAAAAGTATAAGATTTTAGCTCTAATAGTTTCTCAGATATACGAATTTTTGCATTTAATTCATATAAAAGTCCGCCCGTTTTACCCACATGTTCTCATGGATGTTAAAGTTTTTCGAGGAAATTTTGAAGATTCTACCTCTAATTGTTTCCCAGAAAATCATTTTTTTTTATATAATTCATATGGGAGGTGCCCCGCCTCCTATTGCTATCCGCTCATTTTTTGTCTTAAATATTCGTGTCGATACTAAAGTAGCTCTGAAAAAATTTGAGGACTCTAACTGTTATATTTTCTCATATATACTATTTTAAGATTTCCTTATATGGGAGGCGCCACACTCACTGTAGCTAGACCGCCCGTATGTTCATATGGATGTCAAAGTTGTCCATACAAAATTTGAGGAGTCTAGCTGTTGTAGTTTATGATATATACAGTGAAAATTTCATGAAAATCGGTACAGCAGTTTAGGCGTCTATAGACTTCAAACAAACAAACCTACAAACAAATAAACACACATTCATTTTTATACATATATAGATGACATAACCAAATAAGTTTCCAATAGAATTTGTGCAAGTACATTAGGGTTATAACCAAAATAAAAGAGATTATAAAAACCAAGTCTCTAGCTCTTTCCGTTCGAACCCTATCGTGCTTTCAACAGACGGATTTTGTTTTCAATTTTTGCTCAAATTTGGATATTTAGTAATAAATTCTGCACTTTATTGTAAAGGAATCGTAATGTGCAAGGTGTAAGCATTTTGGAATGATATAAAACATAAAAATTGCTTGAACAATTTAGAAGTTATTGCAAATTCACAGCACATGAATTCGAAATGTGACAAAAAACAATAAATACATTTTTGAGATATATTATAAACAAACAATTTTGTTACTTAAAATATAACTATAATTACTCGAATATTAGTTTTTGTCCTTATAAAATAACGCAAACTTGTTCTCTGCTATGGTCAAAAAAATTTGATTTTTTTCAACGACCGTTTCAAATCTCTAATTTTTATTTTTTTAAACTTTTTTAAACAAATTAAAAAATGTTTAGGAGATCTCATGGGGATTTATGGACAATAGATAAGGCTATTAAACGGTAAAAAAATTAGGTCAATATTTCTTACAGTTAAGCTGTACCTGCGATTTGAACTCGGCGGATTTCGGAAAAATCTAATTTTTTGGAATATTTTAGAGAATACGTATCAATTCTTTACTGTTGCACATCTTAAATAAAGTATTTTCAGAGTATTATAGTAATAATATAATTAAATAATAATATAATATTCTTAACCCATAAACTGTGGAGTTCAAAGGTCAAATTTTGCAATATTTGGAAATTCTCAGTGTACCATTCGAAATTATATTTATTTGTCGACCATATTTACCAAAAATTACTGAAATTTATCGTATACCGTCCGATATTTAAAATAGAGCACTCTAATAATGTACATATATGCAAATAAAATTTATTTTTAATTTGTAATTACATTTATTATATTTTTAGGAAAATATTTTTTTGTTGCTTTATACGATATTTGCTTTAGACGATATTTGGCAATAGCCGTGGAATGGTCTAATGAAGTGTTTTTCATGGAAATTACAAATTTGGAGTTGACAATCCTTGGCCGTGTATATTTCCGGTCGTCCCGCAGCGGAGATGCAATAGCCGTGGTCTAATGTAGTTTTTTTCATTGAAATTATAAATTTGGAAAACATCTTTTTTGCATTAAAATGTCTCCTGGCAATTGGATTTTAAGAAACGGCAAGAATGTCTCAAGCAAATGATAACATAAAGAATGTTGTAAAAACCTAATAACTGCTAAAACCTAGTTGTGTTAAGATATTTCGAAAAATTTTCATGGATTGTTGTTTACATTGAATTTAATTTTTGAGTAATAACAAAAATCAGCTGTTTTACATAGTTTACAATAAACAACAAAAGGGTGCTCACGTTTTATTTAAAAAAGTCGG